AACCCACGACACAACAAGAGGGTTATTATAAGTTCTCAGTGGAACATTTGTATTCTAAGGATCCCCTAACTGCAACGAGATTTGTTTAACCAAGTTGATTTTTATTTTAAAAATTTTATGATCTTAAATATTATTTTTGTACTTTTTATAATGATATGTGGATCGGTTTTTTTAAATATTTAATTTGTTAACGTAAATCATTGGGTGAGTACTTAGACGTAACGATTTATTTACTTTGCACTGAAAGAGGTTAAAACGGTACCTAATGTTCCAACCTGTGTCCACTTTCTTCGATTATGAGTTCGCGTCGTACATACGAATGGTCGGCATTGGTAGACAAAGGAGCGTGGCCACCATAACTGTGATGGGTAATTGGGCCGCGGACCCCATAATTGTCACAGTGTATCTTCTGCTCTGTTATTGCTGCACCATACGTGATGCGACCTCCTTTCACAATCCACTATCAGCTGTTGCGTTTTTAATAAACAACTTTATGTATAAGATGACTTTGTATCGATAATATAGTTAGGAACGAAGAAATGTCATTTTTTGTGTTCTATTTATTCTTTTTTTGTTCTGTAGTGCTACTTATATAAACAAGGTTTAGCGTTGGAGTAAATTTGCGCTGAGACTGCTCTTCAAAATTCATATAATTAAACAGAGACTTAAAGATTAACCTAGTACCAGGTTCTACGGAACTAATTTTTGCTCCTAGAAGGTAGTACATTTGCTTATTCTCTGTGTAATATGAATATGGTCTAATCCTAAAATTGCAATTATAGCATAAATTTACTCCGACGCTAAACTTTTGTTTATAAGTAGCACCGTTAATCTTTATGTGGAAAGAATATAACAAGAAACCGGACGCTTTCAACAGGATTTTATTTACGAAACGCAATTGATAAGTATCGTTGTACTTATGATGACTTAACGAGATAAACATCACTCGAGAAAGTCTGTAGACATATGGAGATTTATTTGATGTATCAAACATTTTATTTAATGTTGAAATTATGAAAATAGGCGACTAAAATAGTCATCTATTTTCATAATTTCTACGCTTGCAGCTGTTGGTTATTATTTACGCGTAGGTATTTGTTTGTGTAATTAAATGTCAATTTGAACCTTAGCATAAGGAAAAAGGGGACTCCGATGTAAATGTGTCTGTATTTAAAAAAAATATTGTCATACTTATGCGTTGATAATAAATTTTGACTCGCACACCATAGAATGGTACAATTCAATGCAAATTTCACAATAGCTTCATTTGTTATACAATCACACAAAACAATTATTACTGTACCCACAAAGAGTTATGTATTTTAAATTGACAATTATTAATAAATAAATTTTAAAAATCGTGATAACTATGTCCACACATACTTAAAAACGTTTGCTATGTAACAACTCGCTAAAACTTGCTTCTTCATAAAGCAATCATGATATAAGAGATTTATGATTTAATACACGAAATTGATTAGATCAATCGATTCAGGGATTTCCAAAGTGGTTATTATTGTCCCCTTGGGGTCTCACGGGTGTACAATAAACTGAAATTGATTTTGAGGGTCTTCATAATTATTAGCACAACTTCTTCTTTGCAACTTTCAAGACACTATATAATTCTATATCCGTATGAGTGTATGTCAATTATTTTATTATATTATGGTGAGAAAATGATGCCATTTTTATCCACCAATCTGACTGCAAAGTTGTGAATATTTTATAAGAATAACATTAGCTCATTTTGGTAAATAGTTCTCATCCCAAAATAGTTTGAGAATCCCTGGATCGATTGATAACTTAAATCTAAAAGAGAAAGTGAATCGATAATATCAACACGAATAACATATTAAGGCTCCGTAAACGTTTAATATTACAGTCGGCTATCGAGTCTGGTTCATTTTAACCTTCACGATGAACGTGAAGACAAACTACATTCTTATACAGAAACCAACCTATGTTTCTTAGTCCACGGCCATTTGATAATAGGTTTGACACCTATAAAATCGATTAAAATGTTTAGTTTTAATTGAGTTATTTGATGAGAATATTGTTAAGTTACTCGAGTTTTGTTTGAAATATCATTGTCAAATTGATTAAAACTAATATATTTTATATAATGTACCTAATGTGGATATTCTCTTCTTTATGAAAATATTCATTTTTTTTTCTACCTGTGCTTTATGTGTGATGTTTTCATATATAAGAAAAAGCTTTGTTTTTCTTTTATATTTGCTCTATAAGTTATTACTTTTCCATGATCCATGTTTTTTACGTTTTTCGATATTTTTTACATAATTAAGTAATTATTATTTTTAAAGTACCTTTATTCTGGTAAAGTTATATCTAACTTGATGTGTAACGTAATTATACGCTTGTTAGTCAATAAATTACGGAATATAAAAAAACAACAATTAACTGACAATTTCATTGTTTATTTTATTAATGTTGTTGGAAGAAGAAAAACATGTTATGCCTAAAATGCCAGTAATGGTTGGATTCCGTTATTTTATATTATGTAAGGTCGAAACAAGTTTTTTAGGAAGCTTCAAATCCTTTCGCCTTCGAAGCGTTATGAACGAACGGATATGCAGATACTAGGTGATTGTAAAGTGGTTAGTTGTGTTCCGTATAATGGTTATTGTTCTTGGGAAACCGAGTGGCAAGATGCATTAGTAGTATTACTTAAGTAGCCTGCAATTGGTTGCAAATGTTTCAGCCTAGAAACTTCTTATTAGAAAAAACTTTTGTTGAAGGCTCCCAGGGTATATGAAATATAAGAATAATATTTATAAAAGTCACATTAGAGTAAAAGCAATCCTTTCTGTTTGTCAATAAATTTCCTACAGTTATATAAGTGAAAATTTTAATTGAGATAAATTATTTATTATATAACTAGGTATTGTTAATGTTTTTGAATAGCCTATACATAAATTTAAAGGAAACATTTGATTGTTTGTTTGTTTACGTTGCATAAGTTTCGGAACTAATAGATTTTAAAAATTCTGTCACTAATGGAAGCTGCATTACACGCGGGTGACATACTCCCGGTTTTTGAATTGAGTACTTAAACTTAAGCACATTTGAAATTGTACTTAAGCGACACTTTAAACTATGATAAAACTAGGACCTTTGCCTCGTATAAAGTAAAAAACTTATTGATTAATAATCAGTTGAGATTTTGAACTTTTCCCATATCAGAAATCGTCCGATAGGTTATAATTTACTGGGGCGTAGTCACGGGAAAGCCACATATTCAATATATAAATAATGTTTATGATTCTTTTTTATTATAAATCATAAGCATTATTTATGTGTAGGGTAGGAAAGCTTTTACGTGTTTTCTTATCTTCTTGATAATAATTTTATTGCGTAAATGAATTCATAATGTAGGTCATGTTGAACATTTTGCGATTAAGGCGTGCCGCCGCGACGTCAAAACAAATATATCGTAGAGTTTTGATCAGTATTTTCTTACCTTAGTATAGTATTAATGGTGAAGTTGAAAATAAATATTAGACATGGTGCATAACATTGATTTCGTGTGAAATATGATCTTTGTGCGAATATGTAGGTTTATTTCTTGTTTGTGTAATTGGTCAAGTCAAAAGGTCAAATGGAATCGTATTACTTTATTAATTAATTTTATTGAGTTGTTTTATTAATTATACTGTTAAATGTAAGTTAGTTACAGTTTTAATAATGTCAGGTTACATATTATACTAAAAAATAATTGATACTATTAAATACTATTCTAGTTATTGTCTCTACTTAGGAATTCTTTAATCAACCCTAACTATAACTACCTAACTATAACTACCAAAATAATTGATACTATTAAATACTATTCTAGTTATTGTCTCTACTTAGGGATTTTTTAATCAACCCTAACTATAACTACCAAAATATATATTCAAATAGGTACGGTGTTACGATTTTCAGTTATCGTTATACGATAATTATCGTATCGTAATGAAACTCGATCCTCAATTAAATATAAAAAAACTTTCGCTTTCCAAGATCTATAAAACGAATGATTTGTATGTCAAAAAATTGAAGCGCCTCGAGTTTGTGATCCAATCTTCACATTTCCCATAAACGCATCAGGGTAATGTTCCGACGAGACGACGTTGATTACAAGTTTCACCTGCCCGTATAGAAGCTTGGACAGTTAAACGAAAGTCGCTCCTATATCATGAGCAGTAAAACCATTGGTCATCAGCCGGAACTCGGCAGATTTGCGATCTTTTCACTCGGGCCAAAGTTGAGAGCTACTGACTGACGTTACGTCTGTGTATCGGTATTAAAATTAATCGATCGCATTTTTTATGTTGGTTTAACGTTGCCAAGAATACAGTTTTTTTTATTTCAATTAAGCTGTTAATACAGGTACAATTACAATTTTGGAATTCTGGTTTATTTTGGAGAAACTGTGCCATTTTTCCATCAGGTTTAAATTTTCGAAATAGCGTTTATTCTGTTGAAAAATTATGTTTGTTTAAGAATATAGGTTTCCATAATTAATTATATCAGTTCATTGCTCTGTTTGAAAGAGACAACCCGTTTCTTATTTAAATTCGATATGTTCAAATTGTGGTAATCAAAAATAGAACTGAATACTTATCTCAAAAGCGACTTATTCAAGAAAAGACGGGCGGAGGTTTTTGTGTAAGCTATTCATTAATTTATAGGCGCGCGTACAGTCGAATTGAGAACCGCCTCCTTTTTTTTGAAGTCGTTTAAGAAGAAACTCCTAGTTTAGTATTTTACGATCTTTTGAATGATTTCTCGAAATATTTTAATAGCATCATAAGCCACATAAGGAAGTTGTCATTTTATTAAAAAAAAAAAACATTCATAGTTTAAAATATCTATAATTTTGCCAAGTTATTACTTATTATCGATATCATTGGCGGTTGGTACTATCGAATGCCGTATCAAGTGTTCGAGATTATCTAGCTGCTGTCATTCACTTTTAATATTCACTAATACAATCAATCAGTGCCTGAGTACGCACTTACATCCGACAATGTATTCAATATCAGTGGGAACAGCTGATCGGTTAGTGGTTATTAATAGTTTCAATAACTGGAACGTTTTATTAATGGCCACTTCCTGCAATTAACCTTTTTTTAAAAAACCTTTTTACTACTTAAGAAAGATAATAAATTCAAATCTCCACGAAATGACCTTTGCTGTAGTTTATATATAACACAATGAACGATATAGTTGAATAACTGTTGCGTTTGTATAGCGAACTAATATATTTAAAATGACAATAAACTTTTGTGACATAATAATGTGTGATAATTTTTTTTATATTAATTATTATTTGAATAATTTTTACCCTTTTAAATTAAAGTGACATGAAATGGGCATTGTAGTATTAATACTAAGTATAATAGCTTAACAGACAATGATTGCAACAAATATCGTTCCTTTTTAGTAAAATAAAAATCCAATTTGTTTTTAAGTTGTTTAACTGTAGCACCTGCGTATGATGTAGTTTCCAGAATACGATGAAATTTCCATGATCGGATCAGTATTTCAGTAGATTACTCTTTATAAAGAAACAAAGTTGCAAATTTTATGTATCTGTCTTTATATTAGTATTAAATATGTAGTGAGTTGATTTTATTACGAAACCATACTTTCGAAATTATACTAGTAGTGCAATAGTTGTTTTTATAACTAGCCGAGATTATTATTTTATTCTAATGAAACTCCATCAGGTATATAATTTGAATAATTTTACAATACTGTCTCTATCGTTCCGTTTCATTATAATAATGCACAGTGACCATGATCTTCGTTATCATAAAATGTGACGTGAGAATATTGTTTTATCTTGGTAGGTATCTTGATTGAATGTTTCTGTACTTGTTATCTTATCGTAAACTAACAAGACAACTGTTAACTGGAGAAAATTGAGGAAAAATACTGTTCGATCCTGCTACCTTTTCACCTATATTTCAAAAAACACTGTACTAAGCAAGGAACAGAATGCCTACGCCGTTTCTTAAAAAACTACCTCTTTTTAATATTATAATGCGAACGGGTGTAGACTCTGGTTTTTCAATATTATGATGCAAATGTTTGTAGACTCTGGGCATTGCGTCGGATGTGCAGATAATCATCACGGATATGATCCAAAGAAAATTATAAGAACGTTTCGAAAATTATCGAAAAATTTATTCCGAATAAATAAAAGCAGGCCTTCTGAATTAACAAAATGTGTACGCATTTTATTATGACCTTGTTTAGTGGTTTCAGCTGCCTATTTCGTTTCATTTTGGTATACGAATTATAAATCCTGTCTAATTCTTATATTTGATCAATTTTGCTTAAAAAATCCACTATGTCCCTGGCTCGCCCGGATTGTGAAAGGTCATGGGTTCGAATTCCATCTCAGAGTGTCAGGGACAAAGTGGATTTTTTAAGCATTTGCATTAAGAACATTCCTGTTTAATGTTTGCTGCCTCGGGGTCATTTAGGCGGTTACGCAATTTTTAAGCATTTCTACCAAAATTACACTTGCGCATTTACTCCTCTTGGCCCTTTCGTGACCATGCAGATGTATGTTACCCTGATCTTACACTTAATTTCCTCAATAAACTTGTACGCCTGCAAAACTTCGATACGATTCATATTTGGATTGCGCAAACATGACTATATTTCTGAATTCCGTAAGTAACTTCAGTGGTTCCTTATTCGTCGACGTAGGGATATACATATATGTATATGCTCTGGTTTCCCTTTTACAGTACAAGCAATAAAATTGTGAATCTATCAGACGAAAAATTTTTAAACTCCTTCAAATCACAACTAAAATCCCATTTCCTGTGTAAGTTAAGCCTGCTTTTTTCTTTTCTTAGTTCTAGCGCTTTGGTTGTCACTAGTGTTTTGAGCATTTTGTTTGACTTTATGTACAATACTTACTTTTTTTTAGTAATACTTCGCTGTTACAACTGTTGTATGATTTAAATTGTAATTTGTTCTATGTAAATATTTATGTGTCTATGTAATTTTGTATTTGTGCATAATTTGCTTTTGTGATGTTATAATAATGCTAAATTATAATAAATATAATGCTTTAAGTCCTCCAAAGTTCCGAAATAATGTATATGTGACTCGCCACTCCGCTATAGAGAAAAAGGTTAATAAAATCAACTATATCATACCTGACAACATTTCCTTTTGTTCCAGGTTAGTAAACGTAATCTGTATTCAATGGGCGTTCGCAAATAAAAATAGAGGATAATCGTACGGCACCGTAAGTAATGATAGTTGTTTTCTACGACTATTTTCTCTGGGCCCGGCTGCGTGACATCGCTACCTACTTCGGTTCAGTGGTGGCCGTTCGGAAATGCACCGAGCGGCGGCGGCCGCGGCGATTCCACCTTCGATCGTGGAAGCACGCACACCAGTCACCTGCTGCCGATCTTGCTCGCAACACGTGCCGATACAGAATCGCGAGATGCCGCGGTACGGCGATACGGAACACGCGATGCACTATCATTAAATTGATCGATAAACGTTCAAAAACTTACGGCCGAAGATTGTAACCTTAGCCTATACTCTGTTTTTTTTTTTTCGAATTGGTGCGGTTTGTGTGTGTTCTGTATGAACAATAAATTCATGTGTTTTTTAGTGCTTCTTCTTGAGACCTTCGCTTAGGATTGCTTTATCAATGCGGGTATGGTATATAAAGGTTACAATGTTCACTATTTGTTTAAAATGTCATATTTTTTTTTTGTCATCGAAAACAATTTCAAATGCAATTAAGAATTTTGTGACCTACCCTCATTTACAAGCAGGAAATAATGGTGATAGGAAGTTACGCATGTCTTAATCGAATAATTAATAGACCAGTGCGGTTCATCAATTAGTCTTCATTATAGTTTCGAAATTGTATTACCGCAAACGTTTGTTCTTTTCGATTTTCGATTCTTTTAATTACACGAAAGTTCAGTGCTGATATATCTTAACAAAATGCTAAATGTAAGTGTCGACACGTCATTATAAATTTATTCTATTTTTACTTGTCATGCATTTAAATCTATTATCTTTATCAGATTCAAAATCTGTTCATGTCTTTGTTTGGCATTATTATGAGAGAGCGTGGGTTTTTTCTAAAAGCTTTTGAACGCTACGATTATCGATATTTCTTTTGATTTCAAAATAATATTTTGATTTTCGTAAATTTCATCTAGTGCAACAACAAACAGTGCTTGAAATGAAACATTCTTACCAACCTAACCTTTCAACGAAGGCATGCAGTTACGACATGCACCTTCTACAAAGCGTGTAAGTAGGCTAATTTTACACGGATACTCATCATGTTTTATTGTTGCTCTAACATAAATAACATAATAAGGAAGATAGGTATCATTTTCATCATTAGTCCTTATCACTATAAGTAATTGATGAGAAAAGTCTCTAAACTTCCATGTTTTCAATTAGTTTTAATCTAACATTATTTTAACGTTATGAAATTTGTCACGCTATTTGCACTTATATGTGTTTTGTTTTCTATCTTTGTCACATACTTTTTTCCTTTTTCCCTCCATTAAACTTCTATTTGAACTTCTCCTTAGAGGTATTAGAACTCTTTCATAGCGAACTTCAAAGTTATACCTAGTAACTATTAGTGTGTCAAATTTCAGCTGGTTCTGTTCAGTATTTGAGCTGTGCATTGATAATTAGTCGGTCAGTGACCTGCCCCAGGTGTAATTAATCTGTGAACTTCCAGTCGATAGAAATTTTCTGTAACTTTCAATACTCATTGTCATACTTCTATATCGATTAACATAAAACTTTAATGGGAAATGTATTCCGATCGATACACATGTCGCGGGTGCGGGCGACTTCTGTAGATACTTTTCATTGGTTTATTTTAGGGTATTACTAAGTTTTCTCAGTTGAAAAAACAATGACAATTTAGTTAAAAGACATAATGCAGTAATATTATAGTTAACTTTTAACAAAAAAAGAAAACATTACGCCGCGTAGTGTAAACCTTAATGAACCCAGTGTAATGCTTAAAAATGTCCAGGGCATCCTAGAACATTACAAATCCAGGACAGTCTTGGGTAGACAGGATGGTTGGCAACTCTAGTATATTGATTAACGAAATGAGCCTGTCGACGTTACCCACGCCAATTACTCTGCACATGCGGATCCATATGACCGATCCAAATGAACCATAGATAATTATTTTCTTCTTCTTATAGTACTCCTCGCTTTAGGTATTATTATTCACACGGAATGTATTGTTCCTTCTTAATATAATTATTAAAAAAAAACATGACATAGAGAAGGCAGTAGAAAACATAAAGAACTGACTTTGTAGCTATCATAATTTCCACGATTTCGAAAGATGTCACAATCTTTCAGTAGTTTCCTCTTTCGTAGCGAATACAATCTCTGAGATTTAAGTGTTGCTTAAAGAATTTATTGAAGGGATGGTGAAATGTTTCGCGGGGTCACATTTCTTGTGGTTTGTTTTCGTAACTAAACTTATAAGTGGTATCCAATAGTTTGATGGAGTTACACGTTAACATTTAGAAAGGATTATTGAATTACTTGAATGCGTAAATGAATTTGCAGTTATAGTTATAAACATAACTATTGTTGATCTTAAACTAACTGATTCTACGGTACTTCTTAATGTCTGAAAATATTGTTATTTACTTTATGGTTTATCATTTACGTAATTTAAATCATTCAAATGGTGACTTAATTCCATTACACTTGCTAACACTGATAACAATCTTTTCTAGGTAGCGCGTAACTTACTGTCGCTGGGCGCACGCCTTGAGATGTCTGAAATTCGAACAAACACTGGATAGCACTTATACTTAAATTCGTTTATCACAGTAAAATGTCAGACATATATTATAAAATCCGTGAAAGAGCACTGACTGCCGATGGTGGATGACGGTAGTTAACTGGAATTCTGGACCTCATTTTTATCAATTATTATTATCGTAGATTATAAATTAAATAACGTTTGCTTTACAGATAGTTATTCATTAGAAGAGCACAAAATAATTAAATGAAAATTGTAAACGATACATGTCAACATGTATTTATTTACACATATATATTCGTCAAAACATGCCATTTCGTCTGAGTATCACTCATATTATCAAAGCACCGTTATAATATAGTAGCGAATAGGAATGCCTGAAGAAGACAATTCTTTTTATTTTTTACTTTCTCAAAATAAATTTTTACCCCCGAGAGCTTCTCCAGATTCACCTGCGTCTTTTTTTAGCTTTTTTCTTTTACTTAAACATATTTCTTCTCTGTCTTTCTATCTTACATTGATATGTCATCTTGGTGATACCTTCCAACTGACTTAAGAGCAGGTAGTGACTTCCATCACGAGAATAGTTGATCTGCATCCAGTATTATTAATACGAGTAATATGTAATAAGTATATAAATTTAACTTGAAAAAAGATGGATGATTAGTGGTCTAGTTTTATAAAAAGCTAAAGGTCATAGAGCCAGCCATGTTTAAGGTTATATAGTTTTTTGTAACGCAGATAACGCAAGTGAAAGTGAATTTAACTAATTTATCGGAGCGAGGAATGTTAGCTAACACGCTCACGCTGGACGCCGTTCATTAGGTTGTTAATGCTAGACGTATGATTATCGTTATATAAGAGGATTATTTACTTCGAGGAAACTTAAGTGCGATATGTTTCATAAAAAAAAAAACAAATGTTAGAGAACATCACTCGGATTCCAAGATGAGTAGCTGAAGCCTCGCATTCATCATCATCCTTCATATTTGTTCAGTAGACGTTGTACGAAACGTTTTTTTGTAAGTTTTTGTTATTTTTGATAAAACTCGGTATCGCTGTCAGCAGAAGTTTGTTGTTGTACGAGGTGTTGTTGTTGTTGTACAAGCAGTGTGTTGTTGTACGAGGTGGGGTCAGCGACCTATAGCGTCTAATAAAATAAAACGTGGTATGATTAGCGGAAACGATATAGATTTCTATGGATAGAGATACATATCGTTTACTGTAAATGCTCATATAAGATTTTAGGTTGTTATCTTTTTTAGGCTGCCTTAGGAACAGACAGACTACACTAGCAAAAATAATAATTTATCTGTCTCCACGGTCTTTAATAACGAAACAAATATTACTTTTTATTTTTTATTGAAGTTGTGAAACAATTTAATTGCGTCATCTTATTGATATTACAAAGAGGAGAGATTTGACTGTTTGTTTTTTTGCATCGAATACACTCTAAAACTAAGGGCAGATTTAAAAAATTCTTTAATCTACGGGTAAAATTATACTCGGGACACTATAATTAACGCGCGTGAAGTTTCGAGAAAACACGTTATAGTTTATAAAAACAATCGAGAGTATCCAGATCGTTGACTTTGATGTGATGACTTTGCCCGAACTAAAAACGAGATTTACTATTTCTTATTGATTCAATAATGCTGTACATTAATGATATTTCACACTTCGTTAGATATATGAATATTACTTTGAACCTATATTGAATGTCTTCTAAACACTAATAAAACCTTCTACGATAGTTATCAAAATAATGTCTGCATCAAAAGAGTCGTTTAACATTCTACGAGCGTCTCCAAATCGTCAGCTATTTAGGACAAACCTAGAGTTCTTATTTCCTTTATCGCGATATGATATTGTTAATTTATCAGACACTCGGATTTGGCTTGAAAACTATTTTACATTGTACCTATAGACAGTAGGTACAATGTACAACACGCATCGTGTCGTCGTATTTCGTTCCGTCCTGATAGAATGCAGACGTCTCACGAACTAAAAAGCGGCCGTGAACTTTGCCTGTTACGGATCAGTGATTCGGTGAAAAGAAATAACTCTAAACGACACTTCCAAGAAACATTCAATGATTCGTTTCGATAAGTTAGTTATGATAATTGTATTTATTTTATTTAAGTATTATGTACCAGAATTAATACTCAGAAAGCTTTAAATTCTGATACGTTGGTAGTTTTTCTATAGCAATTTAACAAAATTTGGTTACAAACTTTAAAATGTTTGCACCTCTTTTGTTTTAACATAACTTTTCTTATAACTTAGTACTTATTCACAAATAATAAATAGTTTTTCTGAAGAATATAAATGTATTTTTACGATTAAAAAAACTTTACAATAATGTTATGAACGTAAGTTAACTTAAAGCAGAACCTTTTACTTTTTAGATCTATAAATAGTAAAGTTTTAAAGCAAAAATTTGACATAAAATTGTAAGACGTTCATTACACTCGTTCTTTTATTAAAAACCCTAGTGAAGCTGTACTAGTCAGTAATAGTGGTTTTCACATTACAAAATATATCGTTCGCAGATTATTAATCGGTCAGTAATTAATGTCAACAACCTTCAAATTGATTGAATATAATGAATAATAGAACTAAACTATTATGTTTAAAATTCTTAACAATTTCATTTTGATTAGAAATATTTCGAAATCGCGAAAGACAAAACTGTGCTCTCATTATGCAGTAAATAAAATCAGTTATCGAGCTATTAATTATATCGGTTGGTTGTTGTAGTATGCTAGCTGCTTTATAAGTGTGTTTCGCAAATTTCATTATGTTACTAATTGTACCATTATCAGTTTGATTAGATCGATTACTATCTGTATTATTAGTTGAGAGTGCCATTTGAAGCCTATATCATATGAACTGTCAAGTGTTTTGACTTTAATAGTAATAGAAATTTTGTTGCACAAACTCAATTTAGGTTTAGTTAAAACGCAGTATAGTTTTAATTGTCAAAATAACTCAAGATAACAGAAGTAAACTTATTATGTCATAGTGTACAGGAGTATAAAAATTTCGTTTACGGAGTCTTACATTAGAATGTATAGTATTATCTGGATAGTGTATCTTTAAACTGTGAGCTGGTACGACAATTGATTTGTCGAAAACTTGTTTATTTATTTTGTTTTGTTAATGTTAAAACTTTAAAACTTAATCTCCAGTCCATCAAAGTGCCAATATTAAGTAGCTATTACGATTACGTTAGCCTCACGTCATAAGATTATGATACGAGAGTGACAAGATAAATGTATATAATTGATCGGATTACTTCCATCATAATTCCGAATACACTTTCCCAAAAATAAATCCTGACATAGTGTAGTAATGAGCGGTGAAATTATTCGTTCTTGGAACTTACTTGTTTAATTTTTATTTGATTAACATATGTATAACTAGAGAATCTCTCAAACTTAGAGCTACCTTTTTTTATCAAAATAAATTATAACATATCGTCTTTGCCAAACTGAAGTCTGCAATGCGAGTAAAATAAACTTTTGATAAATTAAAAAAAATAAATAACTTACAGCTGCTGTGCGTAGCAGATTGAAATAATTTTATACGGTAGATAGGACTCTGAACTTCAAAAAAGTAATCTAAAAAAAAGCACCGATAGCAAGTTTTTGTTTTGACAAAAATGATACATTTAAAAATGATATATTACTGATGAAGAAGATTTTAAGTAAAATATTGTCATAAACTATTGGAAAAGATATTTTTTGTTTTGCGTTTTCTTTTTGTATTCCAAACAAATAAAAATAAATCTTTCTTCTTTATAATATTAAAAGATATATTGAAAAGATAAACATATAATTGATTTATAGCATGTAAATAAAAAAAAATACTTTGAGCATCTGAAGTTAGTTTTAATAACGGCTATAAATAAACATTTTTGAATGTCTATATTTTATTTTGTCAGGTCGTCTACCTCGTGTTATATCCAATTAGTGAAGTGATAATTAATACGGATTTGGCGGGAGCTACCATTTATGTTGGTTTCATCCAATTCATGGTAATCCTAAGTGAAATCCTATACATGGGCAAGTTTGCTTATCGCGCGCTTATCCAATCGGTCTCAAGTTTCATACATTAAAAAATCACACGTTATATCTTTTTATAATACGTTACTATTTATTTTAATAATTTAATATGACAAAAGCAATAGTAATATATAAATAATAAATTTATAGGATTAGTTAGCATTTGGTCTCAAGAAGAAGTAAAATTATCTACTTATGTGCGTATAGTTAAAATGTGATTGACATAAGAAGAACGAGGTACCAGCAAAATGTGCAGCAAGGATCATATTGGTCATATTCTGGGCAAGATCAATGTGGTAAGTCACTTTTATTAGAATATATTGTATAATAAATAAATATATTTTTTTAAAACAATAATATTTTTAAGATTTTTGTATGAAATGTACTTATTTTTAAATGGGTTTACAGTTTTGTCGAAACAGCCTATAAAGTGTGTGTGTGTGTGTTTTTTTTTTATAATATCAACTAGCGCTGTGCCTCTACCGATCTATTACTTTATTGTCAACAAGTGTTATTGAAGTATGCATGTTTGTAATGTGCTACTTGTGATTAGGAAACGTAACTGAATACCGATGATAAGTGTTTGATGGTCGTGTAGACATTCTCAATCACAAATACGTGCATCGGTTCTTGTGTACATTATTTTAGTGCACGTTTTTGTTTTTTTTTTTTTATGACGAAACCTTGAAATATGTATCATCGAAGTTGGAGTAAATAAATGATTTCTTTTTAATGACGGTGAGTTGTGTTACAATGTCTTTATATTTATGATTTTAATAAATTATGGTGCTATTATATTAAAATGAAACTATTTTATTAGTATAGTTATGGGGACACTCAAACTAACTACATTGATTTGACTGTTTTGTACTATTAAATACGAATTGATAATGCGACAGACTAAGATCTGTGTTTGTGTTGTTTTCTCTTTTATTATTTCTTTTCCAAAACGATGTGAGGTGTTTTAGGTATAAACTTTAAATGATTTTTAAATATTTTAATTTAAATTATAGTCTACCCAACTTTAGTATGTATTCTTGTATGTAGCATTGTGAATACAATTTTTTTTCAATTATTTGAAAGGCAATGTATTACTTATTAAGCGTTAACGAACGTTTAAATTACACAATATGTTATTTGTCGTCTCAAATTTTTTACAATAATTTATGATTAAATCAATTTAATGATTGTAACTATTTTCCTAACGTTATAAACTCCTACGCAGTTAAAGTGAAGGCGTGACTAAGAAAAGAATTAATTGCCGCTTATCGCCTAAGGCTATAACAAAATAATATAGAAGTAAAAAGATAATTTGAATGCAACGTAATGTTTTAAGTAGATACATATGAATAATGTTGGGTTTGGCAACGAGTTTTAGGATGATTAAGTTGCTTCAGATAGTAAATATATTTTATTAAAATTAAATATCCGATAGTTATTTTTTTAATGGCCACTTGAACAATGTGATGTTATTTTTAGATTTACTCATTGATTGCGCTTTTTAATGGACAATTTTTTTTGTAGATTGTTAATACTAACTATTAAACTAACTAACACTAACTACTAAATGTTTAGATGCGTATAATTTCTCACTCTGTAACAATTCATTTGGTATTATTATTTTACGTTTGTAGTTTGAACATATTAAATTCGGTATTAAGCATTGTTACTTTTAATAGAATCGTAGTAGAAAGACTACAGTTTCTACTGGCACGATTTTCCTTATAAATATATAGTTTATTATAACAAACACTATAGGTATGTCAATAAACCAAATAAGGCGAATAGGGGCGCGTGATGTTACGCTTCAGGTGCGTAGGTGCACATGTCATTTGTGGTATAATCGATGCTCGGCAGCTCCGATTACTTCCCAACCCGTGATAGCTGTCTTTATTTACTTACATATATATAAATAAAATTCAATTCCATCCAAAGAGACGGCCTGAGCCCAGCACCCACTGCTGTTTTTATCTAACTAATGTTTGATGCACAAATTTATAAAGGCGGACTTAATGCCTAGGGCATTTTCTGCCCGTCGTCTTTCCATTGATGTGTAAATAAAATTATATTGATCGTTTGTGTTTAATAGATGGGACCTTTTATAACGTTAAGGCGGAAAAAATAGTACAAAATAAAATATAAATATAAAACGAATGTATACGAACATATAATATAGGTATACATATTATGACCTAAAGACGATAAATATTTCAATGCATCCGCCTGTTTGTGTTTAATCTTGGGTGCTTACCAAGAAACTTTGAATGTAATGCAAATGCGATTCTGTGAGTTGTTCTTCTTTTATTTACTGTTTGAAACGCGTCAGAGTACATAGTTCAATCTCAATAATCATTAATTTATACTTCATCAACATCACCATCATCAGCCCTTTTGCGTTCCCACTGCAGGGGCTTAGGCCTTCCTTATGGATGGTTAAGGAGGATGGGCCATGACCCTCCACGCTGGCCCAATGCGGATTGGAGGGTATTAACGATTGCAAATGCAGCCGGCTTAACGTGCTTTCCGAAGCACGAATTAGCTCGATCGACCCTTGCGAAAGTTGCTTAACAACAACGATCGCGGGCCGCGGCGCTTATCCTCTACGCCACCGAGATAATAATACTTACCTATTCTTAATTATATATTTTAATTTAAAATAAATCTAGTAAATATTGCCAAAAAGGTTGTAGGTACTGTCAGCAATATTACCAAAGTAATTGAATTATCTTAATAATTGCTTAATTTACTTGTTTAAAAATAACTTAAGCTTAGCCAAAAAATTCTCAATGAGAAATCAATTTGTCGTAATCTAAACGCGCAATGATAAAGCAGTTCTTAAAATGTCTGGAACTGTGAAAATGTTTTGTTTGTAACAATAAGTATTGGGTTCACGTGCAATGTTGTTTCAGGCACGTAACATAAATTCATTATGATTAAATATCTGCTCGGTACGGCTGTGCGTTCGTGCGAAACCCGCAAGTCGAATTACTGGCAGTATGTATTTATGTCTTACTTGTTTGGTTCTGAAATCGATCGATGTGTATGTATTTTTTAATTTTTACCGTTCATACAATGTTCGACAGATACTTCTGTGTATCAGCACATTGTTATATGAAAGAAGCGAAAACAAAATGATAAATGAAGCATGTTGTGTTACTAAAATATCGTCCAAGTAACAAGGAGTTTGTCAGTAATATAGACAGTCTTATCTAACTTATCTGTGCTATCGATCGATATACAATATTTTGAATCGTTTAGTTAGTCATGTTTGTTATGTTTATTTAAGATTACAGAACTTGTTCCTTTTGATATGGTGTCTAGATAATTCTTACTACTATAATAAATAAATGCCTGATGGAAATTTTAATACAAATTATTCTATTTATTGTTAAATGACATATATATTAATGTAACGTATATTTTTAATGATAAATCTTTACAAGTTTTTACAGAGTAATTAGACTGTAAATTTGAAAAAGGATTAGTTACTAGTTTGGTTCTTAAAATAATTAGAAGAATTATGCCGTCAAAGTATACTTCACATAATTTAAGCACTGTGATTCTAGCAATAAAATTTGTATTTTAGGTTAAATATCCATAGATGGCATTAAAAATGATCAAATAAATATATATTACATGAAAAGAAATCTTTAAATATCTAACTAGTTCGTTATTTTTATAGTTAGATATTTCTTCGGCTGTGGTAGCTTTTCTAATTTTGATATAGAAAATTTGTGAATATAATTGTCTAATAGGGATGATGGTTAATATTTGTTTGTTTGTTCAACAGGTAGTTTATTGAAGAATATTAAACATGTTTTATTAATGAAAAATTCTTAAAAACCAGACCTTTTGCAATCCGAGCGACTGCTCTAACCACTGAGCTACCCAGAACCTAACATGACTGACGAATTTTTCTAGCACTCGTTACTTTTCGCTACTACAGAGCGTGTTTTCATCAATGGTCAGACAATCCACCATATTTAATCTTTCGATAAAGATGAAAACTCGTTCTAATTATTATTTGATCATTTTCGCATTCACGATGCTATACTGAAATATATTATTAATAAAAAATGCTTAAAAAATTCCTCATAATCCCTGGCACTCTAAGATGGGACTCGAACCCGTGACCTTTCGCAATGCGGGTGACTGTTACCACTGAGCTACCCAGGACCTACTACAAAGCATTTCTCATTAATAATATTTTTCAATATAGCATTGTGAATGCAAAATTTATCAAATATAATCATTTAATACGTATTTTTTAATTTTTAGCGTAATCAATAAATTACGGCGATATGTTGTGTTGAAATCATGACGTCAGTCACGCTTATGGACGTTTTCTACAAAACTGTCTCGTAGCGAGCCCCCCAGTTCTCAAATTTAGTGCCTAATATCTAAGCCATTTGTTGTTAATTGACGAAAAAAACATATCTAATATTTTTCTATTACCTGACTGATGAATTAAACAGATTTTTTTTTTAAACCTAGTCATCATACATATCGGAGTTCAATAATTATCATGTAACCTTCTGCAATTGGTTTTGTTAATTATAATTTCGAAGCAGAGATCAAATTAAGCTATCTAATACTAATAATGTATTGAAATTTAATAGCTATATTTTTTATAAAATGATTAACAATACTACTGTTTTTAATCATTATAATTCAGCATACATGGAGTTATCTTTATTTTAATTTTAAACTTAGCTTGACTAATTTATTTTTGAAACATATATTTGAAATCTGTTCAAGTGGCATTGAATTTGTGGCAAATAGGTTTTGTAAGTTGTTATAAAGTATTTTAGTCATGATTTAGGCAATAAGCGGCCTGTAAATGTTAGTTTCAGTTCGTAAAATAAAGAATTTTTAAAATTTACATCAAAGCTTTCACATTTTTAGTTTGTCTCTGTTTTTATTACGCGAATCAGTAGCGGCCATTATGTGACGTCATTCGGTTTGTAAACCAACAAGAAAAATAAGTTTCAAGCAAGACAAATATGTTTTCAGGTTATTTAAGTATTTTAATAACGAAATAAAGAAAAAAATATTTTCTTTAAAATAATACCATGGAACAGGGTTTTGCAAAGGAAGATCGCAGAAAATTACCAATAGGAAACACTTATCATCGGAAAGCTTTATACTGCAAATCTCAATTTTTATTCTGCTGTATTACCGAATTTATATCGACGCCATAAATTATTATTCCAGTCTTTTGAATACAAGCAACCGTTAACAGGTAAAGCTAGTTTGACACGTTACTATAATTATTAGTACAGTATTTTCCTTATTT